TGGTTAAGAGCACTGACTGCTCTTCCAGAGGTCCTAAGTTCAAATCCCAGCAACCACATGATGGCTCACAACCATCTGTAATGAGATTGGATGCCCTATTCTGGTGTGTCCGAAGACAGCGACAGTGTACTCATAAATAAAATAAATAAATCTTAAAAAAAAAAAACCTACCAAGTTATTCCAGCTTATTAAAATTGTGTGATCCATCAAAGAAGCTAAGTTTTCCAAGCATAAACCTAACATATTCCTTCTCCTTGAAGAAACAACTAGCCAGAGCATGAGATTAATATCACATTCCTGTAAGATACAGCATTTTTTTGGAAGAAGACAGGAATCCATTCCATACACTATAGATCACAATGCACACATGACTTATCTCAAGCTCAAGTAACATGACAACCTTGGATCATCATGATCAACATTATCAACAGACATAAACAATTCGGTAAAACCACTGTCCTGTGAGAACAGAGGGGTAAACAGGTACACTGGAAAGCCAGGACACTGTTATCTTATCAACATCCCACCTGCCCAATGACGTGGGCTTGATTCAGTTTATACTTCCACAAAATGAAAACAGTGAGAAGCTAGACAGTGCAGCAGGGAGGCGCACAGTGTTCTTCCAGAGGACCAGGTGCAGTTCCCAGTACCCATGTGGCAGTTCACACCCATCTAAACCCAGTTCTAGTGCATGTAATGCTCCCTTCTGGGCTCTGCAGGCGCCAAACATGCACACCAGGTATGTGTGTGTGTGTGTGTGTGTGTGTGTGTGTGTGTGTGTACACACACACAAATGCAGGCAAACACTCATAAAAGAAGAAAAACACTAGTAGAAATCAAGGTGGTGCACGCCTTTAATCCCATTGGGAGGAAGAGACAGGCGGATTTCTGAGTTCGAGGCCAGCCTGGTCTACAGAGTGAGTTCCAGGACAGCCAGGCCTACACAGAAAAACCCTGTCTCGAAAAACCAAAAAAGAAAGAAAGAAAGAAAGAAAGAAAGAAAGAAAGAAAGAAAGAAGGAAGGAAGGAAGGAAGGAAGGAAGGAAGGAAAGAAAGAAAGAAAGAAAGAAAGAAAGAAAGAAAGAAAGAAAGAAATCAAGAAGAGTGAAAAGACAGTCTAGGAATACAACCATAAGGCCTCAGCTGGCTGTAGATTCATCAGCACTCCATCATGTAACCACCCCAAAAGGCCATTGCATGAAAGCTCTACAATGCCTTTTTCTTCCTGAGTGGCTGAGAAGTTTTAACAGACTATGAAACAGAATCTAGATCCACATCCTATCAGTATCTTTGCAGCAAGCCCCTTAGGAAAGCTCTGACCTTAATAGAAGCATACTCTCCTAAACAAACACTTAAACGTACTATAGGAATGACTCACAGATTTTCAAAGTTCACTGGATCATGTGACAAATCTCCCCTGCAACCTATCAGTATGTTCTCTAGCACCGAAAACCTTCTGTTCAACTCCTAAATGTGAAGTTATCCTCTGAAATGTTCATTATCACTGAGTAACTCACCTTACTAACGCCAACTCCAGTGAACCTGGCCTCCAGTAATTCCTGCCTTCGTGGGTCCAGGCTATGCAGTTCTTCCATCATTTCTACAAAAAAAGAGAGAGAGATAAGAAGCCATGAAAAACTAAATGGAAGAAAAAAAGTTCTGTGTATAATAAAACACACAGTAATTTTGTAAACCTAAAGGAAATACTCATTCAAGTGTTATACAAAGTTATTTGATGCTATCAATATTTATCTAAGATTATGCAGGAGTTCAAGTTCTATGAGGGTCTTTCTACTTTTCCTGAATTCTACTTTAATCTTTATGGAGGGTGAGGACGAAGATATGGAAGCCCACCCCTGTAATAATCCTAACATTATTATTAGGAGGTATAAGCAGCAGACAGCCTCATATCTGAGGACAGCCTGGGCAAACTCAAGGCCACTCAGGGCTATACAATGAGAGCCTGTCTCATTTAAAAAAAAAAATACAAAAAAAAGTAAATAAAAAGAAATAAACTCTTCATTTAAACTCTGTAAAAGTTAAGCAGAAGAGGTAAAACACCGGCAACTTACAAATAGAAAACTCCTAATCTAAGTCCTTCGAGATATTTCTCTTCCAAACACATAAGAACTATTTACGCTAAAAATATGATTCATTTAATAATTTCAAGTGAATACAGAATGATTCAGAAGCTGCAAATAACTTCAAGAAAACCTACTGTATATAGCTCCTTTCTCTGAATAGCTCACAGTAGCTAATGAAAAATGGAATTCTTTCACGTTATTTTAATGTAGATGCCAGGCAGTGGTGGCACACACCTTTAATCCCAGCACTTGGGAGGCAGAGGCAGGTGGGTTTCTGAGTTCGAAGCCAGCTTGGTCTACAGAGTGAGTTCTAGGACAGCCAGGCTTACACAGGGAAACCCTGTCTCAAAAAACAAAAACAAAAACAAACTTAATGTAGAACCCAAGATAAACTATCAACCTATATTCACTCAGGAAATTGATATAACTCTGTAGCAATTCCTTTACAAAATCTTTTTCTGACCACTCCTTGGAGCAGTAGGTTTCTCTCCACTCTGAGTATCTGCTTTTAGCACTCCTCCCAAACAGGGAGGGGCAAGAGGACACCATTTTTAAACTCTTTCCCTGACCAATTAACGTAGACACTATGAGCAAGTTTGTCCATCCGTTGGAAGAGAGAATTCGTGTACCATCCATCAAAAGAGCATGCATCGTTACACAGAAATCCTTCGAACATACTATTATTCCACAGTTACTGGAAGCACTACTAGAGTGATTGGCATAAATTTGTATTAAAGTTCACTGAAAACACGAACCAAACCTTCTCTGCACTCTAACAACTCCATAATTTCCAGCAACATCCCCTAAATAACTCCTAGCTTTCATTTCCCTTCCTGGGCTGAATGCCTTGGGGCAAAGGGGAATGAGAGGGTGACGAATTAAAGTTTCACTCACACATACAAGTAAGGAATTAGAAAATCGTTAGAAGGATAGAGAGGCATCTTAAAAAAAAAAAAAAAAAAAAGACTGAGAAGAAAACCGAGTTTTCCCTAAGTAGGTAAATGGCCTTGCTCGCCACTCGCCCTGCCCTAATCGAGGTCGGAATGGCAGAGGTTACAATGCAGTGTCTCTCCAATCCCAAGGTCTCTGGAAACACTTCCCAACCCTTCATCCCCAGGCCTGGCCCGGAAAATGAAGCCCTAGCAGTTATCCCATTTAATGTCAACTCACGATCAGAAAATACCCACCCCATCTCTCTCTAACAGGGCTTTGGTCCGGGATCCTCCCCAGTGGCCCCAAACCGGGAAGCAGGGCCGATGGGGCCTGGTCCCGGCACCCCTCGCCGGCTGCAAACTTTCCCTAACTCCAGGCCCACCTGTCACGGACGGAGCGAGGGACAGCTCTCGGGGGCGCCCGGTAGGCTGCCAAGGCCTCCAGCTCCCCGGAGTCCCCACTCTCAGCAGGCCGACCGCCACACTCCCAGGCCTGGGCCTGGTCCATCTTCGGCCCGGCCCCTCAGCGACCCGCAGCCCTCAGGGAGCGCCTCCCGCCTCAGCGCCCAGGAGCTGCGGCACGACGCCGGCCCGGGTCGCAGCCTCCTCGGGCCCTGGGGGCCCCCGGGACGGTTAATACCCCAGGCCCGGCTCCCTTCCACGTCCTGGGCTGAGCTTCTCACCTGCCGCCGCTGCCTCTCCACGCTCCTCTCGGGAGGGGCCCCGACCCGACCCGGCTGCCGACCGCTCCGCTCTCCCCCTAGGCAGGCCCGGGGCGGAGCCGGGGCCTCTCCTGAGCGCCGCAACCCCCGCCCGGGCAGCCGCCGCCGGCGCCGGGCTCCACGAGAGGGCGGGCGGGGGAGGGGGGCCACGGAGGCCGCAGATCCCCGAGCTCGCGTACAGAGCCAGGCGGCTGACGCGGGCCCGGGCCCGGGCGGCCGCCGGGGGGCGCGGGGCCGGCCTCCTGGCGCCGGACAAAGGCCAAGGGAGGCGCAGAAGGGTCCGGGTCGGGCCGAGAGGGGGGGGGCCGCTCGGCGGGGGGCCACTCGGGGGCGGCGCGGGGGGGGGGGTGGGGGGGTCGGAACCGCTAGTGCCCAGGACCCGCCTCCGGCCCCTTAATCCGGATCGGTTCGGTCCGGATTAGTAGTGATCGGTGTAAACACACTAGTGAAACCGCGTGTTTCCTCGCGAGATTTGCACGGCTGGGAGGCACGGGGGGGGGGTGTTCCTGGGGGGGGGGGTGCCCACCGTGGCGGAGGGGACGAGAAGGGGGTTGGGGGGGGGGGTCGCCGCTGCCCCGGAGCTCCGCCTCCTCCAATCAGCGGCGCGGCTGGCGGGCAGGGGTTAACCAGGGGACCCCGCACCGGCTGAGCCGGCCGCGCCTGACAGGGCTGCTGAGGGCGGGCGACTGGCGGCGCCTGCGGCCCGACTGCGACGTGAGGGGCGGTTGGTCGTCTTGGGGACGCCGGGTAAGCGGCCGGGCCGGAGCCTCGGGAGCCGCCTTTGTGTAGACGGAGCCGGAGGCCGACGGTTGGGCTGCGTCTCGGGCCGCGGAGCAGCGTCGGAGCGGCCCGGCCGCCGCGCCTGCCCTGTGCCTGATCTACACACATTCTGGGTGAGGAGTGAGGTGGCTCTGCCCAGCGATGGATCGGAGAAGAGAGCCCGGGAGCGGGTCGTTGAGTTCGCGGTGCCCACCCGATGTCCGCCGACCCGCCATTCCCCTGCGCAGCCACCGTCCAGGTCCCCAGACCCCACGCCTCAGGCACGGAGAGCCGGCCGCTTTCGCCTTCCACGTACCTGACCGGCCGGGCGTCTCCGGGGACAAAGGTGTCCTGGGAGCAGCGCCGAGCCCTCCCCGGCATGCCCCCCTCCAGAGCAGAGGGCGCTAACCCGGGGGACTCTCTCAGAGCACCTGGAGGAGGTTCCATTTCAACCTCCGGTGACAAAAACGGGCCTCCTGGGATGCTCAGGGGTCTGAGGGTAAATGCCGGAATGGAAAAACAGGCCTGCTCTTCACCGAGCGTCTGCTGAGAGGGTGAGGGCCTGCGACAGGACGGCTTCCTGCATGGGAAAGTGTTCCCCCTCTGACCCCAGCGCCAAAGGGGGAAAAACAAAGTCACTTTCTTCACCTAGTCTCAGGAGCCAAGACACTGACTTCAGAGTAACTACTCAGCATTTTGTTTTCTTCTGATGCTTCCTTGATCAGATGTCTGAACAAGACTGAAGAACTACGAAAGAATCACAAGAGAAACATTCAGGCTTTTAAACAGCTGGCTTGAACTCTTCCAGGCGTCTGCAAGTACTCCAAAGCAGAATTCTGTTCCTATTTCATATTAATTTTGACACATATTGACTGGACAGCGACCTGCCAAATGGACAAAGGATGAAGAGCAAGACAAGAGGAAAGGGTAGGGATAGGGGACTAGGAGCCACCCTGAAAATGCAGTCAGTTTCAAGCATGAAAATGATGGAGAACCAAAGGAGAGTGCACTGGGGCTCCTTCTCAAGTCTGCACAGTGGGAAAACAAGGGCAGTTCTTATAATGGGATCAAGAAAATAACACCCATATTCCCAACACAGGGGAGGCTGAGATGAAACAAGATTGCCAGCCTAGGTATCTCAAGACCAAAGAAAGGGGGCTGGAGAGATGGCTCAGTGGTTAAGTCTTGGCACTGTTCTTGCAGAGATCCTGGGTTTGCTTCCCAGCACCAATGTGGAGCAGGCCACAACCACCTGTAACTCCAGCTCCAAGGCATCTACACCCATAAGAATATGGCCTGCAACTCACTATGCAGCATGGGCTGGCCTCAGGTGGTCGGTCCTTCAGCCTCTTCCAGAGTTCTGGGATTACAGGCATGCAGCCACTATGCACAGCCTAAAAATAACTCCTTAAATGACACTGGAGTGTCATAAATTAAGAGAGGAGACTAGAAGAGAAAGAGAAATGGACAGAGTTGAAACAGAATTCTTCCAGCTGGTCCACAAACAAGTTGTCTGGGCCAGTTATCTAATTTCAAGTTTCACCAACCTCATGTACCAGAGCTAGAGAATTCCCAGCGCCCTTTCTAGATGATAGGTCCCATTTTCAGTTTTTTGTTTTGATAAAAGATCTAATGTAGCTGAGGCTAACCTAGATCTCCCAGTGTGGCTGGGGATGCTGTCAAACTTCTGGTCCTTCTGCCCTTACCTTCCAAGAGCTAGGATTAATTAATTACACGCTAGGAAAGCAGTCTACCAACTGAACTATATTCCCAGCACACAGACTCACCTTTATCTGTTTTCTGAGAGTCTCACTATGTAGCCAAGATTGGTCTAAATTCTCAGTCCTTTTGTCTCGGGCCCTAGGAGCTGGCATGATAGGCGCATGTCCTAATGCCTGTCTCCTGAGTGCATTTTTAAAGGAACCATTTGAACACAGATGAAATTTTTAGTTTCACTTTTTTTAGAGGGGGGGGAGGTGTGGGTCAAGACAGGGTTTCTCTGTGTAGCCCTGGCTGTCCTGAAACTCACTGAGATCCGGCTGCCTCTGCCTCCTGAGAGCTGGGATTAAAGGTGAGTGCCACGACTGGCCAGCAGTTTAAATTTTCTATAAATGAGGCTTTATGTCTCTTTTTTCCCTGCTATTTTGTGTGGGTTCCTCATGGGTATTCCACTGTCTCCTAACAGTAGGATCTGCTGACTCAGCTTCCGCTGGCTCAGTGGCCTTTTCTTTTCACTGCTCTGTCTCTTCACCAACTGCCTTCTCTCTACCCCTTCTCAGTCTTCTTTCTTCTACATCAACTGTCTTCTCTAACCCTACCTCTGACCCTACTCTGCTGCCACCTGGACCTTACTCTCTTCCTACTCCTCTGACTCTTGGACCCTACTCTCTCTGTCTCCAGAAGTCCAAGAGTCAACTGACACTAAAGGTCATAGGGTCAAGCAGTTCTAATGGCTAAGCATTCCCAAAGAGTCAGTTGACTATCCATTGGGGATCCTTTAAAGGGCCAGGCACACAAAATAAATCATACTGTGTATACATGTCAAGGAAATTCATACCACCCAAGTTTACTCACTCTAGGCTTAACAGCTGTTCCAATAGAAACTGCTTACAACAATTGGCGACTTTCTTATTTTAAGCATCGTATAATTCAAGATATACTAGCCAGGCCTGGTGGCACATGCCTCTGATCCCAGCACTTAAGAGGTAGATGCAGCAGATCTCTGAGTCTGAGGGCAGCCTTATCTGCATATAGCTCCAGAACTACACCAAAAAAAAAAATATATTTTTCCCAGAAAAAGAAATTTTTGTAATATTAATTTAATGTAGGGTTCAGGGATCAATGTATGTAAATTATATTTGGTCATGTGAAATAGCCTGTCTGAGAATGGCAAGTGATGCTATGTCATGTGTAAGAATACAGTTCCCGGGCTGGAGAGATGGCTCAGTGGTTAAGAGCACTGACTGCTCTTCCAGAGGTCCTGAGTTCAATTTCCTCAACCACATGGTGGCTCATGACCATTTGTAATGAGATCTGATGCCCTTTGCTGGTGTGTCTGAAGACAGTTACAGTGTATTCATTCATATATATATATATATATATATATATATATATATATTTGAAAAAAAAAGAATAAAGTTCCCATCAGCTATGGAAAACTTAAACATAGGTGGAACCAGATTTTGGTTTTAGAGGAATGAAAGAAAAGTTTTCCAAATTCATGTTAAAGTCACAGAGAATCACACATCCACTGGCCATACTTGAGACTAGCCATAGTTTTCTCCACAGTGTGCTGTGCAGATTTCTCTGTACACTGATAATGAACCAGAGAAGAGTAAAGGTTGCTTTGACAAACTGGGGAAATCTGAGTTAAACTTAAGCAGAGTCTTTGATTGTACTTCATTATTGAGTCTATAGTACGGATTATGTATGTGACTATCCCTGAGGATTTGTATTTGAGTTGTGTTTTCCTCACATTTGCTTTTACCAAAAGCAAAGTGGTTGGTTGCTAAAGAATTAACTTGTAGGAAAAGCATCTTGACACCAGAACACTTTAACACCTTTTACCTCATCGTGCCTCAGACACCTGAGTCATTTTTTTTTCCGTTTTGTTTTTGTCTTGTTTTTGAGACAGTCTCCCTCTACCCTAGGCTGGCAAAAATTTGCAGCAGTCCTCCATCTTCTGTCTCCCATGTGCTAGAATTACAGGTGAGAGTACCACACCCATCTCTGGCAAACATGTTCTTGAATGTTCCATAATGGTTACCTTCATCAGAAAGGTTATACCAGGGCCAAAGAGATGGTTTATCAAGACTGAAGAGATGGCTCAGCTCGTAAGAAATAGGCTTACAACCAAAAGGATAAGAGATTGGTTTAATGGATATAGGCACTTGCTACCACCAAGCCTCATAACCTGAATTTGATTCCTGAGGTTGATATGGTAGAGGGAGAGAAACTACAGGTTGTCCTCTGACCTCCACTCACATGCTGTGCCATACACAAACACACAATGATAGAGGGTGAGGGGTGAGGAGGGAGATGCTATCATTGGACATGGTAGTAGTAGCACTATCGAGTTCATAGTGCTCACACCTTTAATATTCCAACACCTGAGACTGTCTTAGTTAGGGTTTTACTGCTATGAACAGACACCATGACCAATGCAACTCTTATAAAAGACATTTTATTGGGGCTGGTTTACAGGTTCAGAGGTTCAGTCCAGTATCATCAAGGCAGGGACATGGCAGTATCCAGGCAGGCATGGTGCAGGAGAAGCTGAAAGTTCTACATCTTCATCTGAAGGCTGCTCATGGAAGACTGACTTCCAGGCAGCTAGGGTGAGGGTCTTGGGCCCACACCTACTCCAACAAGGCCACACCTCCTAGTAGGGCCACTTCCTGGGCCAAGCATTTACAAACTATCATACTGACTGATTCAATCTGGCTTCTCTCTTGGCCTCTTAATTTTTTGCTCTGCTTGCCGTCTTACTAATTTTGGCAGTATGTTCTAATTTCCTGGTACCTTCTCATTCTCTGGATTGTTTGGTCTTCACCTGTGACTAGCTTGTTCTCTCTCTGCAACCTATTTCTGTGCAACTGTCCCAGTAAAACTACCTCCTCATTCTTTGCACTGCCCCTTAAGTAACTTCCCTTTCCTCTCTCTTCTTGTGAGATTTAGGCATATTCTATTTTTCTCTGATAAATCACTTTGCCACTCAGATATCACTTTCAAATATGGGTACTTCCTTCTACAAACTAACTTTACCTTCATTGTTTGGGATTAAAGCTGTGTACTAAAGGCCTGTCTATATTCCAGCCAGAGGAGTTAAAGGTGTGTGCTAAGAGTAAGCAACACCACAACTAGACATTTTTTTCCAGTAAATAACACAACCTCTGAGTTCACAGTATGATCAGATATCCTGCAACATTTATGTACTTGACAGTAATCCCTGAATTAATGGTCTTCAGTATAACTTCACATGTCTGCCAGGGACCTAAGCAATTGTCATTAAGTTAATTTGGCAATGCATTTGGATTTGGAAAAACAGGCTAGCAATGGATTGAACCATTTAGTGGTAGTATTTGAAGCAAAACTGAGGTTGTCATTTTAATATAAACATTACATTTTGGAGGGTGGCTATTGAGATTTGAGTCACTGTAACAAATATCTGAGAAAACACCTTGCAGAAGCTAAGATTTATTCAAGGGCTCCATCTCAAGAGATTTCAGTCCATGGTCCTTGACTCCACTCTTTCATGTCAGAGGGCATGATGGAGTAGAGGTGCTCATCTTGTAACAGGAAGTGGCCTGAGACAAGATATGCTTCAAATGTCTACCCGCAGGGACCTATTTCTTCTATCCAAGGACCTAAGATCCCATTTGTTTATGAACTAGTAAGTAGATTGGTCACTGTTGAAGTTAATGCCTTTATAATTCAATCACCCCAAAAGTGCTACTACAGTGGGGCCAAGCCTTAAGTACAGCAGCCCTTTGGAAGAACACTACATATCTAAATGCTAAAAAATAAGTAAAATCTCTTAATTTATGTTCATCCCCTCCCCTGTGAATTTAGGAGGCTCAGACTTTGTGTTGTTGGGTATAGAAACCAAGGCCTATACTTCCGGCTGGAGGTGTGACAGGATTGTCAGTGACCCATGGAGAAGAGTCAGTGGTCTGACAGAAGACTGTTCTATCTCACCACCTCTGTTTCCTCATCTGAAAACTGAGACCCTGATTCCATGAGCAGTATTAAAGTTGACACAATATCCGGGAACTATCAAGTAACTGGCTGACAAAGTGGGCATGCTGTCAATCTTATTTCTTTTCTTCTCCCCATTTCTAACAAAAGGGAGAACTACTTGCAAGAAAGTACACTAGATTAACACCCTAGCACTCAGCCTCCTTGAGATTCACCACTGCCAGTCATCTGTTTCCTATCTCCCATCCCTGTCTAGTGGTTTGGAAGCCCTGCTTAAGCCAGTTGAACATATACTCCCTACCCCCATGCTAGGAACCAAACCCAGGCAGGGCCTTGCATTTATTAGGTGGCAACCAGTCTACTGTTGAAGCCAATCCTCCACACCCTCAGCAAGTCTTGACACAATTGTTTCAGTTATCAAGTCACAAGCTCTTCCCTACAGCCCACTGATGGTGAACAATCTTCCTGTTCTCTGAAGAGCAGCCTCCCTTCTCTCATGTCCTCTTTTAACCTCTTCTCCATCTTTTTAAAATCATTGTCATGTTCCCTCTTTCTAATAGCTAAAATGCAAGAGAGGCATAAACTCTAATAAGTCCCAACCTCTAAGCTACTGAATCATCTGTACTGGCCTTTGTTGCTCCGCCTGTTGGTTCTCTGAGACAGGAATTCCTCAAGCCTCAGCTGCCATCTGAACCTAAGCAAGATTGACGTTGAACTCCCATCCTCCTGTCTTTACCTCCTAGGTAGTAGGATAGTGACCTGTGCCACCATACCCAGCCCATATTAGTCTTTCTCAGAGCAAAACTGGAGAGAGAGACAATGACAAGATCCGTATTTAGCTGGATGTGGTGGCTCACATCTGTAATTCCGTCACTTGGGACACAAGGAGGAAGATGCTGTGTCTAAGGCTGGCCTGGTGGACACAGAGTTCTACGCCAGCCAGGGCTACGTACAGAGCTTTATTTGTTCTCAAACACCCTGTAAGTCAAAAAGAAAAATAGAAACTGACAAATTATAACAACAAAAGAACCGCCTCAGTTCTTCCCACTAACTTTTTTATCAACTTTTTTTTTAATCCTTGGGGAGGCTGAGATCTGGGGTTTTAATCTACAGTGTACTTTCCTGCAAGCAGTCGGTGTGATAGCATGCCTACTCTACACCAGCCATAGTTGCTTGATAGTCATCAGATATCATGTCAACTTGAACACTGCTCATGGAATCTTCATCACAGTTTTCAGATGTGGAAACAGGTGGTCTGGGACTGGATCATCTGGAGATCAGGCCCAGAGCCTCAAACATGTCAGACAAGCACTCTACCATGGAGCTAAATTCCAAGCTAAGTAATGATTCTTTGTGCATAACAGAGCTCACAGGAGAGCCAGGATCTGATATGAATGCCCACAGAGAAGAAAGTGATCCTCAGTCAGTGGCAGGTAGGTCCAGCCTGAAGAACTGATCATGTAGTGGAGATGAAAAACACTCTAAACTGTTCTGGGAAGATAGTGAGGTCTGTGGGTTTTGGATAGTACTATACAAATAATAATAACAATAATAATAATAATAAATAATAGGGAGATAGAAAGGAACATAGAAGAGTAACTTGTGAATGTCACTATCACAACAGCTGGTTCTTGTATTCTATTCTACAGTAAGTCTTAACTATCCACAAAGCAGGATGCCTGTTACAAACTGCACAGTTGGGGGAGGGGCTCCACTAATGCCAAACTGAATCAGTGGGAACATTTGGGTGTGCACATTAAGACATGGAATCATAATATCTAAACTAGACCACTTTAATGGGAGGACCAGACATTTTGATAGAAACTTGCCTCATGATGAAGAGCTTTGAGCTGGCTGGAGTGTGGACCAAGGGTCAGTAAGCTACAGCCTCCAGGCTCCATTCGCCCTACCTGTCTTTGTATGGATTTCAAGCTAAGGGTGATTTTGATGCTTTTGTCGGGTTGCATTATGTGGCCCAAAATGATGTAGAACTCCTGGGCTCAAGTAACCCTGCAGCCTCACAAGCAACTGGGACAACAGGCCCACTCCTGTCTTACATTTTTGAATAGTTGGAAAAATATGTTTCATGACATATGAAAACTATATAAAAATTATTCAAGCTCAAGTTTGATGCCTTTATAACACAACCACACAGTCCTTTCAAGAATAGCTCACTGGAAAAGAAACACTTAATTCTAGTACTCAGGAGGCAGAGGCAAGAGGATCTCTGGGAATTTGAGACCAGACTGGACTACATACTGAGTTCCAGGCCAGTCAGGGCTACATACTACATACAACCCTGGCTCCAAAACAACAACAAACTGGATTACATTCCTTTGGGGACCTACTGAAATGCAGGTTCTGAGGCAGTCAGACCCTTTCCTGTAGCTTCCTGCTCAGGTGGGTAGGTCCCAACTTGAGCCCCAAGTCAGGGCCATCTACCCATCCTCAATAAGCTATTTCAAACAGCCAAACTAATAGTTGAAAGCAGTAAAAAGATTTATTCAGTGCGGCCATATTAGGAAGAAGGACAAAGAGATCTGGAGAACCTCTAAATCCCTTTTAGGGGTACTGAGTGAGACTTAAGTCTTAGAAGGCCAAAGATTTTCACATCTAATCAGTCCTGGTCAAGGTGTGGTCCTTCCCCCCCATTGGCTCATCCTGTAAAGTCGTCTAAAGCATCCCACTTGTTTTGTTTTCTCCAGTTAGGGTTTCTTGGTGTAGCCCTGGCTGTCCAAGAACACACTCTATAGACCAGGCTGGCCTCAAACTCAGAGATCAGCCTGCCTCTGCCTCCTGAGTGCTTAGAATAAAGTCTGTACCACTACTGCCCAGCCTGACAAGCCTTTAGGACTATGTGAAGTCTCCTTTGGAAAGGCCACTGTTCCTCATATCCCCCGACCCCGCGCCTACACCAGCCCATCCCCTACCTCCAGATGGCACCTTTTGCTTCTCCCAGCAGGGTCTTCCTGTGGAATTCCTATGCCTTGGAGTCCATTGTTTCAATTGTCTGGTAGATTGAGAGAATACCTCTGTCAGGCCTGTTACACCACCTCCTGCGACCAGAAGATAGCTGAGGCTATTCCATTGGCAGAGTTTTAGTGAGTGCTTCTAAGGGTAGCCAGTAGTACTAGGAAATGTCATTTCCCATTATGCACAGCTGGTTGCTCTAACCAGCCTTCCTTGGGGTCGTTAGGGTTAAGTGAGATAATGTAGGTGGTGATGGAGACTGGCAGTCTCAAGAAATAATGTATCTAGCAGAGAAGGAGGGAGGGACAGAGTGGTCCCCATGTGGCCAGGGATGACCAAGGATATCAGGCTGGAACCCAAACTTCTCCCAGTTATGCCCCCTTCTGATAGGTTATTTCTCCACTGTAGGTCAACTGAGCCAATTTAAGCCAGATTGGTTTATACTGAATGCAGGTTTATTGGGAACCTGTTCTCAGGTGGGTGAGTTCATTGGCCCAAAGGAGACCAAGGCCAGAGAAGACATGTGGAAGGGGGGATAGAAGTGAGAGAGAAAAAGAAAGAAGTGAGGAATCATGCAGAGAGAAAAGGAAAGAGGAGAGAGAGAAGGAGAAAGAGGGAGGGAGAGAGACAGAGTGAGAGAGCAAAATGTCTGGATTATACAGTGAGGAGCCTGTGGGGGCAGGGTATGCCATGAGGGAGGCTGGGAGAACCTGGAAGCCAGGTGTCTTTGGTATGTAAAATATGCACCTCAGTCCTTTGTCACCTGGGTGTCTTGTGTGAAACCAAATGAGGTGGTGTGATTCAATCTCAGAATTTGCACACAGGAGTGAAAAGTTCTGGTCACTGTTGTTTCCTTTGGTTTGATTTTGGTTTTTTTGAGACACGTTTCTCTGTGAGGCCCTGGCTGTGCCAGAACTTGTCCTGTAGACCAGGCTGGCCTTGAACTCAGAAAGATGTTTTCTATTCAGAGGTCATTTTTCTCTTAGAGGATGTCTTACTGTCTTACTGTGAGTCTATGAGCAAAGAAATTGCAGAGAACCAAGAACTCAGCGTCTGAGTCTCAGAAAGCTTACACAGGTGTGGATGTAGAAAAAGGAGGAACTTATTATTACTGCCTTAATCCTCTTGCCTCTGCCTCCCCGGTGTGCGGATTACAGGAGTACATTATTATGTTTTGTAGTACTGGAATGAAACCTAGGCCTCGGGGGTTCTAGGCAGGCACTTTTCAACAGACCAAGACCTGAGCTCTTAGGCCTTCTCTAAGCACTACAGGCTCTTTTCTACCTCCCCCTCCACCCCCTGCAATACTTTCTGTTTTTTTGTTTGTTCCTTAAAAGATTTTTTTCATTTACAAGTATATGCACCATGCGTGAAGTACACACAACCGTGTTGGAGCCCCTAGTGCTTACAAGAGTTAGCCATTGCTCCAGTGCCTCTTCCTGGTTTTTTATAACTCCACACACTGTGCTCTGCAATTTGCCCCCTGTCTTATCTAGGGTTCCTACTCCTTCAACAAAACTTATAAAATCAAGTCAGGGAAGAGAGGGGTCTTTTTTTGGTTTATACTTTCAGTTCATAGTCTGAAGTTCATAGTCTTTCAGTTCATAGACTGAAGGAAGTCAGGACAGGAACTCAAGCAGGGGAGGAACCTGAAGGCAGGAGCTGATGGCTGAAGTCATGAGTTGGTTCTGCCTACTAGCTAGCTTGCAAGCACAGCTTGGAAATTTGCATGGCTTGCTCAGCCTGCTTTCTTAGAGAACCCAGGACCAGCAGCCCAGAGACAGCACCACCCACAATGAACTGGGCCTTGCCCCATCAATGACTAATTGAGAAAATGCTCCACAGCTGGACATTATGGAGGCTTTTTTTTTTTTCAGTTTAACTGAGGTTCCATCCTTTTAAATAAGTCTAACTTGTGTCACAAACTTGTGTCAAGTTGACATAAATCTAGCCAGCACAACGGACCCCTTGTCAACTGAACACACAAACACATTATTTTTAAGTCACAACTGTGTTTCTTGTTCATTCCCAGGATCACACATGAAGGCATCAAGGTATAAACCATTAGACAGACTTTAAAAAGTCCCACAGTCTTACAAATACAAACACTTTAAAAATTATCGATTTTGGAGGCTGAAGAGATGGCTCAGTGGTTAAGAGTACTGACTGGTCTTCCAGAGGTCCTGAGTTGAATTCCCAGCAACCACATGGTGGCCTACAACCATCTGTAATGGGATCCTATGCCCACTTCTGGTGTGTCTGAAGACAGCAACACTGTACTCACATAAATTAAAAAAAATCTTAGAAAAAAAATATCTCTTTCAAAATACCACTCTTGGGGACTGGCTCAGAGGTTAAGAGACTGACTGCTCTTCCAGAGGTCCTGAATTCAATTCCTAGCAACCACGTGGTGGCTCACAACCATCTGTAATGGGATCCTATGCCCACTTCTGCTGTGTCTGAAGACAGCTACAGTGTACTCATATACATAAAATAAATTAATTTAAAAAGTAAAAAAAGCAGGGAGAGCTCACCTAACCCCTGGAACTGGCCCAGTGGGATCCACTGAAAGATTTCGGTGTGCAGCTTAGAACAGACCACACCAGAACAGCCGGCTCCAGGAGGGGAGGGGGTTTATTCAGGGCAGAGGGTGGGGAAAGAAATGGGAGGAATGATGGAGAGAAGAAGAGAGAGGAGAGAGAGAAGAGAGAGAAGAGAGAGAAGTGGAGGCTGGCCATGACCACGTGGAGAGAGGGGGAAGGAAAGGGGGAGGGGCAAGGGGCAAAGAGAACCTGCAGGCGAGGGATCAAGGGAACAAGAGAGAGAGGAAGGGGCAAGCAGCCCCTTTTATAGTGGGCAGGCCTACCTGGCTGTTGCCAGATAACTGTGGAGGTGGAGTTTAGACAGAATACTAACATTTCCCCATTTTGGTTTAATTAAAAAAGAAAAATTAGAAAGAGGTAACAGCGGGCAGTGGTGGCACTCGCCTTTAATCCCAGCACTTGAGAGGCAGAAGCAGGTGGATTTCTGAGTTCGAGGCCAACCTGGTCTACAGAGTGAGTTCCAGGACAGCCAGAGCTACACAGAGAAACCCTGTCTTGAGAGGAGAGGGGAAATGTCTCATCCAAGGGGAGTAGTCCTAGAATGAGGTTCAGGGAAGGACAGGGTTTGCTTCTAGCTCAAGAAATCTTTCTTGGGACCATGTGGACGGTTACTCTGGCCAATGGTGGATGGGAAGCTTACCAGTTCTAGGCTAGGCTAGTGAGCATGGATATCTTTTGGTAGCCAGTCTGATGCAAACCTGCAGACGTCCGAGGCAGTCATGGCACCAATGAAGTTCCGCAGGTGTGTGGAGAGGTATGGGGGAAGGTGATGTCTCAGTGGGCCCATGCTGAGGCATCTCTTCTCTCTGAGAGACCAGTCACACACCCATATAACATAGAATAGTTTATTCAGGGCATGGGGAGGGGAGCCAGGAGGGTAGTAGAGGCAGAGGCAGAGGCAGAGGCAGAGGCAGAGGCAGAGGCAGAGGCAGAGGCAGAGGCAGATAGAGATAGAGATAGAGAGAGAGAGAGAGAGAGAGAGAGAGAGA